CGGCGTGCCGGAGAGGTCGGGCACCGTCGTGGAGGGTCTCCCTGAGCCCTGCCAGACCAAAGGCCCCACTGTTTCGGAAAGCGGGGCCAGGATGCATGTTACAGACCCAGCGCCAGGCTCTCGCCCTCCCAGGAGGCTCGGAAAAGATGATTTTTCACGCAGACTCCATGCAAGGAACTACTTTAAATTGCTTAAATGGCTGCATTACTTCGGGGACAGGCCTTTGCGGAGCTGCACGGCCCAGCGGGAGGGGAAAGCCCAGAGGACTTGTAAACAGCTCCTGCTGCTAGTTATTAAAGTGTTTTAGTGCCTTGTTAAAAAAGTCTAATCTCTGTGTCTATCTAAAAAAAATATTAGCTTGCTAGTGTTTTTATTATAACCAAGGTGGGTGTTTTCTGGGACCGGCTCAGAGCCCGCCTGGCTTGCTTTATCAGCTTGTTTTCTTACCTGATAGAGCCCAATAACAGAGCAAGGGCAGCAGGACAGAGCAGGGGAACCAGCTCTTCCCGGGGAGCGGCATGGGGGGAGGCTGTGCAGCCAGCTCCAGGCTCTTTCCCACCCGCGGGTGCTCTTGCCCCATTGATGCCCCAAACCGTCCCACTGGCAGCGACACACGTGTCCCCAGGGCAGTTCCCCAGGGAAGGTTTGAGACAAGCTGAATCTGCACGTGGATGGGGTCCAGCTTGCCGAAGAAAACCCACAGTGGATCACCCTCCCAGCCTGGAGACAGGGTAGGGAGCAGCCGGGAGAGCCCAAGGCAACCCCGCTGGCTCCAAGGCTTGATTTTGGTGGATATCCAGATCTGGGGACTGTGGGCAATTTAGGTGCTTGTAGCAGGGACAGGCTGAAGAGTCACAGGGCTGGTGAGACAGGATCAGAGATATTACTGAGAGAGCTGATGTCTCGGGGAGATGTCCAAGGGGACAGAAACGACCTTGCTGAAGGGCTAGCTCTCATCTATCTCAATGTCTCTCCAGGCCAAGGTGTGCTTTGGGGACTAACCACCACAGGACAAACCCTGGGCTGAGCTCCTACCTGCCAGGAGATTCCCAGCCAAGGCTCAATGGGGGCATCCACAGTTGGGTGCCCTGTGGGGCCATCTGATGGAGGGGTGAGCTCATGAGTAAAGAGCTAATGTAACCCCCAGTATCGCTTCCAGCCTAGTCCCAAATGCTCCGTCATGCTGCGCTGGGTAGCGCCAACACATTCGTCAACCGGGGAGCTGAGCATGCGAGACCCGGATGTTTCTGTGCTCAGTGGAGGCAGGCGTAGAGGTGCCCTGGGGCCGACAAGGCTTAGCAGCTCACCGGTGCTCACCTGCTCAGTGGCAGAGGCTACGGCGAAGGCAGGAGTCAAACCCCGACTCCTTTTCATGATATTTCTCCTCCCAGCCCTGCTCTACAAAGAGCAACCTCAGCCTGCTGCAGTTTGGCCTTTCAGTGATACGCAAAGCCATCCAATCGCCGCGGTTTAGGACTTGGAACAGAAACGAGCTGTGTGTTTTGTTTCTAGGGTTTTCTTCATTTTTTTTACCTAATCCCAGCAGAAAAGGGGGAAATCCTGCACAGCCCTGCTGGCTCCAGCATCTGTCTCTCCATCTGCAAAAGCTCACAGTTTCAAAGCTGGGATCCTAAACGGATGCTGCGGCTGGGACGGCAGGGCTGGGGAAGCTTGCGTTTGCTTTGGAAAGGCTAGTGTTTTCATGAGCAACAGCTCCAGCGGTTTTTAAAGGGTCCCACCCCAGCAGCCAGGCCCTAGACTGAATCAGCCTCTCAACAGCCTCAAAACAGAGCTGTGGCTGCTCCTTCCCCGCACTGGGCTGGAGAAAACACTGCCATGCACCCAAGGGAGCTCGCTTTGCAGGACTGTGCAGAAAGCAAACATGGAGCCAGGAAGGCCAAATTAGATGGGGAACCCTTGGGACGCTGAGATGTGTCAGAACGGGGAGAAAGAAATTCCTTGTCACCACACCAGGCGGACCTGGTGGGGAGGGAGGTGTTCCCGGAGGGGTCCAGTCCTGACAGCAAAACGGGCGGCTGAAATAGCAGTATCCACCAAGGAGAAAGCAACAGGAGGGAGCCAGAAACAACCAAAACCTCCTGGAGGAACTCACAGGGGGGAAAAGTTACCAGTTGCTGCTGGAGACATAGTTCTGCCTTGGCTCAACATGCCCAGTCTCAAGAAGATTCAGTCCCAAAAGACTCCTCCCCACCACTCCCCCGGCAGACCTGCTCAGGTACTCAGGTGCCTCAGGAACAGCCCCTCATGACAGCTGTCATCGTGGTGAGGCGACAATCCCTAGGCCCAAGATCTGTGCCTGTTTCAGGACTGAGGCTAAACCTGCCCTGTCTGTATAGCTTCGAGTTGCTCAGCTGCACTTGCTCCCTGCAGCTCCAGAGGCATTTCTAAGCAGGATGGCTGTAGTAGGAATCTCTTCCCTTCCCTGAGAGGCCCCACATGCTTAGCAAAGCACCGACAGCGGGGCTTTGCAGAAACGCTACCATTTATTAAGCCAGCTATTTTTGTTGACAATGGTTTTCAATAGCGTTGGAGGACTTACCCAATCTCCCCCGGGACCCACAGTTGATTCATTGCACGCGGGGCTAAAGAAAAGCCGGGGACAGACAGCTCGAGGGCAGTGGCTCAGCTGGCAGTGGCATGGCCACCTATTCAGGAAGCTATAAGGTGCTTACAGATGATCACAAGCCAAGCGCAGCTACTCAAGGGCAGGCAGATGGGATGCGCTTGCGTAGGGCAGCCCACCTCTGGTTTGTTGGGATTCCCCCAGGACCTTGACAGACACCATCTCCGAGAATTTGAGTTTTGCCCTGCTCTTGGCCATGAATGCAAAAAGCTCTCCGTGTCCACCCAGGAGAGCCCTGAGGATCACCCCTGCTGCTGTGGGGAAGGAGGGTGCTCACAAGACTCAGCAAGGAGGGGAGTCCCACTGAAGATGCCGCTTCAGAGGAGCAAGGCTGAACTCTGGCAGACCCCAGCGTGCCCCCAACCACCTTCCTAAATACGTCCAGCCCATACTACTTCTGCTCTAGAAACATTCACAACGTCTTCCCCCCTCTCTTGGTTTCCCAGTGACTTCAGGAGACATTATCCCAACTTCCATCACCACAATGAGGAAAGAGTCAGGCTGGGATTCACAGACGGAGGGGAACAACAGCACCAAGCCCCGAAAGAGGCTGTCTCCATGCTCAGCCAGGAGCAGATGCACTCACAGGTAGTAAAGCCAGGGCACTCCAGGCTCGTCTCCCAACGGCTGTGCAGGTGGAAGAGCCCCTCTCCTCGAAGCGGAGGCTACAGGATGCCAAGGTCCTTCCCTGTATCCTTGTTTACAGGGAGCGGTTTCTGCCAAGCTAACACAGCTCCAGTTGTAAGCCATGCTCTATAAGATAGCGAGAGGGTGTGCTGGAAAGCATAGCACGTGGATGGTAAAAGGCACAGGAAGAAGCCAAGGCTAAAAGGAGAGATGTCTCTAGAGCAGGGTCATAGTAAATCCACCCCTGCAGAAGAACCTCATGTTTCTGGTTGCTGGCTGGCTGCAGGGACCTGCCACCATTCAGCACACAGATGGAGAATCCCGGCCATCGCCTCCATCATGCTGTACCAGGGGAAAGCACAAGACTTTCAACAGTAGTTTGAACCCCACAGACTCTGCCAGGCTGTCCATACACTTCCACTTTATCAAGACCAGCACTGCTCATCTGGGGTCTCCTTGTGTTTTGGTCACAAGGTCCAAAAACAAAAGAGGAAAACTGGATCTCCATCTCCCACCAAGTGCTCTGCTCTTCTCATGTGTAATCACCCTTGATAGACACTGGCCTTAAAAGAGATGTTGGAGATGAGCCTGTCCCATAGAGATGCTCAGAGCACTCTGCTCACAGTCCTGCCCCACAGATTGCATCAAGCAGGCTGGTGCCACGAAGCTGTGGATGTGTGGGAGCATCTCCTGTCCTGTCTGGGTAGTGGGTTTGGGGAAGGGTCCCCAGTTTTTGCAGATGAGCGGCTGAGGAAGAGAGGACTGAGGCAGAGCCAAGGAGAGAACCCAGGAGTCCTGTCTTCCCAGGTGTCCTCCACCAACCCTTCACTGCCAGCTCAAGCAAATGTCCCTCTTCAAGGACAATGGAGGAGTGACCAGCCACCAGGTCCCCTCATGGGACCAGCTACATGCAAGCATCACCCTGTAGCAAAGGATTAAACTTACAGGGACCCACCTTGCCCTGCCTCTCCCAGGGAATTTGCCACGGGGTGGGCACCCCACCCCAAGCCCCTGGTGCTGTATCACCAAACACTGCCAGAGGGGTCAGAGGGACAGCACGACACAGCCAAGCCAGCCCATCTCCCGCTCCCTAGCCATACCACTCTCCCAAGCAGAAACACATGAAGCAGAGCAGATGGTTGGCAGAGCTGGACTGGGAAAACGTGAAGCCATAGGCTACAAGAACGTCACATCATCCTGAGACTGGAGCCAGCGCCAGTGGGCGTCATATTCCAGGTGCGCTTTGCTGTTGAATTTGCAGTTCTCTAAGTCAGCTTCAGCTTTCCGAGCCTTCCCACCTGGGATCCCCTTCCCCATCCTTTCCCCAGCCCCTGGTGGCAGTTTGGTGTCTTTGCCTGGTTCCAGAGAGGAGGGCTGCTTGCCCAAATAGCCATTGGCCACTTGGGGCTCCTTAGCAAACCGTTGCTGGTCCAGACAACTCTGATCCTGGGGCAGCCCAGCAAGCAGGTGGTCTGCATGGGGCCACTCATGCTCCACTTTGCCCTTCTCTTGCTTTGCAGGTAAGCCCCGGTCGAGGTCAATCCTGGCCCAGTCCTGCTCTGCCCTGGCCAGGGCTCTGCCTGGTGCGGATGCTGTGACAGGCTCGGCAGCGTTCTGGGAATACTCATCCATGTCATCAGCCCGTGTGTCCAGGGAGCTGCCGGTGGAGATGCTGTGCCGCCTGTCATT